GGGACAAACACAGACACAGTGACACCGGCACTGTCCCCTGTGTGATCGACGTGCGGACTGGCGCGCGAAAGGCGGGTGGCGCGTCGCGTGTGACTGAAATGCGGACAGGCGCGCATGCCCGCGTGCAGAGGGCGCAGAAGGCATTTTAATCTGACCCCTGGGACCGATGATAATGGAGGTCCACACAGAGGCAGGCGAGACTTTTATTAAGTATACAGATTGGAAAACTTTTTAAAATCGAAATTAACACTTTGTTCAAGTAGACAAATAAGAAAATAACGTTATTTGCTACCAGCTATGTACAATAGTAAATGTTATCCACGTTTTCTTTGAACTAAGGTTGAATTTATAAGGGCATCCAAACTAAATGTAATGCTTTTGCAGGTGCCTCAAAATAAGCTCGTTCAGGGGTCGATATTTTTATGTAACTGAAATATCTTGGGTCAGATCGTCTTACTTGACCAAACGATTATCAGTCGTAAGGCACCAAGTTTCGGTGTATGGAGTTTATTTCCTGTCCATGGCTTAACGTCATTTTTTATGCCAAATTTACAGTAAATCTCGCCATTTCAGCTGACGTGTCGTTAGTGTTTTACTGCTTATTTTTATTACCTGACCTGTCTATTTTGTACCTGTTCCGTTTGGTTGGTCGGACAGATGATAGTGCTTTTGGGGGCTAAGCCTACCTGGAAAGGGACCTCTTAAGTTTAAGTTCCCTTGTGGTCTAGACTGGCTGCCTGGTGGTTTTAGCTCCAACTCCAGACTCATGTACTTTCCTATATTCCCTACTTTTATCCCTTCCAGGACGTCATGCAAAACATTGACATCGTCCTCACCTACTTTGCCAACCGAATTGAGAAGGAACTAGGTCCACATCCGACGGAGACGTCCAGTGTAATGGCTGTGATCACAAAGTCTGTTGGCAACTTCTCTCGATCTCGCACGCTGAAGGTAAGGAGAGGGCAAAAAACGAGAAATCATACGTGATTCTGTCGTTTTTTTTGTTTTCATGCCCATAATTGTCTTCTTGTGGATATTCTCCCTGAGTCTCGAAATCGGTGCGTGTCTCATCTCTTCCTTTCCACCTTTGGATCGGAGCGAGGTATGGAATTGCTGCAGAGGACAACCAAGGCCTCGTGGGATTGGCGATCAATTTTAGGAAGCTGTTCGAAGTTTTCGCGCCAACGCTCGACGTTGCCGAGTTTTTAGCAATTTAGCTGTCATTCACATTACGGACTCAACGCAGGGGGCTTACCACTAAGCTGGCAGATACTTTGGTAGAGTTTTTCATGCTTTCAGGAGAGCGGTTGACGTGCATCTGCGTGCTTTCGACAAATTCTCATCAGGTCAGTACATGATAACAGGGTTTAGGGTAGAACATGTGGTTAATTATGTTCATTTCATACAAGTGAGTAGTGTGTCAGGAACATTAGAGGTCTATTCCACGGCGGTGCCTCCGTCAACTAAATTATGTTTCGATCCTCCTTGGCGGAGTTTCTCATCGCCGTCTGCATTTGTGGGGAGTTCGAGTTGTTTGGGCAGACAATCGTAAAGTTTTTTTTAACGAGGTTGTGCAAATATTCCCATGTGTAACTTGAAAAGTCTATTTTGCAAACATATTTTCGGCAGTTTTACATGGCTAGTAAATGTATTATGGCAAAATTCATCGTTTTTACGCCGCCAGCGCGACGAAATCGACTTGAAGAGGTCATTGGGCTGGGGGAGGGGAATAGAGACGAAGTGAGGATAGACTCTGAGCATTGGACGTAGATCAGTTACTGTCACTTCCGTGGTCGACGCCGACGTCAGGTGACGATTGCATATCGCTCCCGCCTCTGGTAACAGCTAGTCATTCCCTGCAAATGACAGCAATTTTCACTCCACGTACCTTACCCATAACCAGTGCTCATGAGCTATTCAAATTTCCTCCCCTCTTCGCCTCCTCAGCAGAATGACCTCTACGCGTAGATCTTGAAAACGACGCTGGTTAACCCTGTGCAACTACTCATTTAATTATTGAAAGATTGCATATACAGCAGAATTTAATGGAACCATTAATTTCGCGAGCA